ATGCCCCTGGCACCTGGCAGGGGCAACCCCCAGTACTCTTGGAAGAGTATGTTCTCAACCCAAGGCACACACAATTCCTACGTGGAGTTCTGAAGAACGAGTCCAGATTAGAAATCACAAAACAGGCTGGGTGTGGTGGTGCATGCTTGTAGTCCCAGCTACTGAGGCTGAGGTGGGAGGATTGCTTGGGCCCAGGAGGTCAAGCCTGCAGTGAGTTATGACTGCACCACTGCACTCCAGCCTGGGCAACACAGTGAGACTATTGTCTCAAAAAAAAAAAAAAAAAAAAAAGCACAAAAGTGGGACTGTGTATAGAGCAGACTTAGCTGTTATCTTGCCGCCCTGTAATCCCAGCACTTTGGGAGGCCAAGGGGGGGTAGATCACAACAAGGTCAGGAGTTCGAGACTAGCCTGGCCAACATGGAAGAAAGAAAACAGGGACTGCGGAGCCAGGGAATAGAGCTGGCAAGAGTGCTGGGTATTGACTGGGCAGAGCCCCTCGGGGTAGCAGGGACTGGGGGGTGGGTGTCAGCAGACAGTGCCCCCAGCTGCCTCCTGACCCTTTTGTTCAGTGCTTGAGGCTGCCATTTAAGGAGTCACAGAGTAAAGAGAAACTACGGAAGGGCCTGGATAATCAGGATGGGATGAGGCAGGGTCAGGGCTGGATTTGGCATGTGGCTCTGCAGGCTCCCCTTATAAGCATCATCCCATCTCTCTCATCCTGTGATCAAAACCTGTCCCCAAGGTAGCTTAGACAGGTGTGTCACAGCCACAAGGAAAAACGTTGGGTACAGCCCACCTTCTGTCCCCAGCACTGGTTCCCAAAGGGAGGGGAGGCTGGGGCACTTCTCATGCTGTTCCCTCCCGTCTCCTGCCAGGGAACCCCAGACCTTGGCTCAGAGGTAAGTGACTGGCCTGTGGTGCAGAGGGGCTTGGTCCCCAGACGGGGTGGCGGAGCTCAGGTGCCACGGGCTTCTCTTTGTCCTGCTACCCACTTGGGAGTCCCTCCCTGGGCAGGCCCTGTGTCCATGTGGGAGAGGTGTGGGCCTGAAAGAGCCCCTGCAGGGTGCTAGCAGGTCGCCTTCTGGTGGCCTGTTCTCCCTCGCACCTGTGACTTGCTGGCTAGTTTCTGCACCACTGCACTTTCCATCCTGAGCTCCCTCACCCTCCAATTTGAAAAAAACTGTACCACTGAGAATTTCAGAGTCCTGTTCCGACTGGGGACTTGGTGGATGACTGGGGATTTGGTGGGCACTGCCTTAGTTGAAAACTGCATTTGAACAGTGTTATTGTCTGTCTCTCCTCTTCCCCCCACTTCCTGCTCTTCCCAGTGTGGCGAGAAAGGACACTACGCCAACAGATGCACCAAAGGGCACTTGGCCTTTCTCAGTGGACAGTGACAGCAGCTGGAGCCAGCTCCGAGCAGCCCGGGGGCCCCGCTGTTGGGAGTGTGCATTTAACTATTTCATGCGCTTATTGGCGCGACTGTGGCTTGAGCTGGCCCGCAGGCATGTGGGTTTCATCGCTCTGAGGGGCCACGCCTGTTAGTTTTCTATTATTCTGCCGTAATATTTTTTGAAAAAGGGACAAGTGTCCTGCTGGGTCCCTGCAGTCGACATCCTATTTGGCGGGGCATCGATGCCCCCTTTCTGGATCGATGCCTCCTTTCCGGGACTCCCGGCACGAGTCCCCTCATCCAGGGAGGGAGGAAGCTGCTGGGGAGGGGCTTGGCTAGGCAGTTCTGTGTGGCGATGGTTTTCCCCTCATTAAACACCAGTTCTTGGTGACCGCAGGGGCTGGTAGGTCATTCAAAGCTGTGGCTGGCTCACGCCTGCTTCCTCCCTCCCTGCCCTGCTGAATCCTAAAGCTGTGCCTCTATGTGATTTGAATGAGGGAGCCCTTCAGGGCAAATTCAGGTGCCCCCATTGCCTCAGACTGGCCCTGGTCCCAGGTGGCAGCGGTTGAGGAGGGGTGCAGGGCTCTCAGGCCTGAGGTTCTCTCCTCTGGGCTTAATTTTCTCTTGGGGTACGCTCCTGACAGAGTTTAAGGTGTCCCTTGAGCTGGAGCTGCAGACCTTTAAATAGATGGCCCCTTCAGATCATCTGTGCCTACCTCCTGCCCACCAGGCGTCTACACTCACTCAGATGCCTGTGGCATGTGGAGGAGACTGCCTTGTCCTGAGCCTGGAAAATGTGAAACTGTCTCCTGTCTCCTGCTGGGCATGTGGGCCTGGCCACGTTCAATTGCAAGAACAATTTTTATGAAATGGATTAAAGCTTGTTTTTTAAGCCATGCCTCATTACTTAAGGTTCTCATGCCAAGCCTCTTACACTGGATGCAATCACAGCCTAGCTTTCTTGTCCCTTTCAACAAATGTCAATCTCACAAAGGGAAGTGCAGCTGCCCAGAAGGCCTTTGTGCAAGCAGCTGGTCAAGTCTGGGAGTCTGACCTGTGGAGCCAGCAGGCAGGTTCTCCACCTCAGCTCAGATGTCAGGTGGCCCCCATTTCTGGAACACAGCATCCCACCCCCAATGAGGCTCTGATGAAGGGGAAGAAGGAGGGGTCGCCATGGCCCCTCACTTTTCCCCATCACTCCCATCCCACTAAGCCTGCTAGAGAAGCCTCCTCAGTCGGAGGGCCACACTCTGCAGCATGGGCATTAGTGCTGCCTGAGGTCTCTCCAGACAGTGCCGGGACACCTCACCCTGTAGCCCTTGATGCCCCAGGGTGATGCAGAAATGAGATGAGAAAATATCCGGGCCGTCTAAAAATCCCCTGCCTAGAGCCACAGGACAGCCGGGGTGGGGTCTGGTACTCTCAGGCACACAGGCCTTTGTGTTACACCATAAAAGGTCAGCCAACTAAAGGCCAGAGTGTCTGCGAATGCACCTGTCCATAGCACTCATGGCAGGGGACAGACTTCGGCACTGCTGCTGCAGGAAGGTCTGGATGACACCCTGCCCTCCAGGGAGCTGGGACACAACCCAAGTGGTGGTCTGGGAAGTCCACAAAGGCCTTCACAGGTCAATGCCCTGGAAAGACAACCTCCCCCTACCTTGTGCCACAGGAGCCCCTGGAGCATGGGACAACGGCTACGGCAGGCAAGCAGCACACGTACCAGTCATCTTTTATTTGGAGGTTAATTCCCATTAGGACATGAAAGGATTCAGCAACGATCGAGATTGTGTTCCTCATGGAGGGGCTCAGGCCAAGGTCATGGGGTCGGGGGTGGTGCATAGCGTGTCCTCTTCAGTGGTATTTGCGGAGCCGCTCGTGCTCTGAAGTCAGGAAGGCAAGATGGTAAGTATCTTACAAGGTTACAGTGAAGGCACGGCATGACAGGAAGCAGGCTGAGATCACACACAGCCTTCCTGAGAATTCCCTTCAGAGATGACCCACGACCCGCCTGCCGGTGTCTGCAGAATCAGCAGACCCGGGGGGCACAAAGACACCTCAGGAGCCAACCTGCCACCTGGCCAGCTGCTTTCTTTCCAGAAGGAACAGAGGGAACACCTGCTCAGACAAACAGCCCTGAGAACCCGTCCTTCAGAGGCAGCACCGCCCTGGTGCAGCAGAGGGGGAGTGAGGTGGGGGTGGGGGGTGTACACGACACTGTCAGAAACAGTCTAGTCAGAGGACGTCAGCAACACTTCCTGCCAATCTCCCACCAGACAAGCTCCTCTCGAGCCTCAAAGCCGGAACAGCCCTGCTTTTCTGGGGTACCAGATTATCCCACTCAACTCATTTCTCTTTCTGCATTGGCTACTAGGAAGATCGCGCCAAATTTTCACAGAGCCTGCTGTATTTTAAAGAATGCTTCTAAGTATTCTCTTTACCCTGACTTCATTGTGATTTTCCTGTGTTCTTGTCACAATTTTCTCATTCAAACAATATCCCACATACTGTACTCTGATAGGTCCCTCCAATTCTTTTAGGTGGAAACATAAGGGATTTACTAAAGGTCTCTCAGCCTCAGAAGAAGGTGGGCTGCTGTCTCTAATGAAATCAGTCACCACCACCCTCTCTTGGGAAACTTAAGGCAAGATGCCGCAGAGGCACTCACTGAGATGCTTGTAGGAAATGCTGTAGTTGAAGAGCACGTAGCATGCTAGCACCATGGTAATCCCCGAGATGCTTCCCTTCTTCACGTTAATGTACTTGTTGTAGTACCGGTAGTAACCTGCAAACGCAAGAGGCGCTCATTGCCCTGCTGGGCTTCACATTTCAGTGAAGTTGAGCACACAGTTGAGTCTGGCTGACATTCAGGGACCCAGTCCTGCTCTGGCTGTTTAAGCCCCTTGCCCTGCATTCACTGGTTGATAAAGGTGATAAGCACAAATGCCAGTAAGGTCTCCAATCCCCATAGCCTAAACTATAAGCACATACCAGCTCCTGAACTAGGCCCACCTGGATTCCACCTCTCCCCTTTGGCCTTGATCTTGTAGCCTCCTGAGTAGCTGGGACTTCAGGCACGCACCACCACACCCAGCTAATTTTTCTTGTGTGATTTTTTTATAGAGATGGGGTCTCTCCACATTGCCTAGGCTGGTCTAAAACTTGGCTGAAGCAATCCCCCCGCCTTGGCTTCCCGAAGTGCTGGGATTACAGGCATGAGCCACTGCACCCAGCCAAGATAGGCCATTTCAAATATTTGTCCTGGAAGTTCTGGCAGGGAGGTGAGCATCATATTATAGACTAATGCCCACTATGGTTCCAATTCATTTTCCTCTTAAAGAAGTCTTAGAATTTCTCTAAGAGGCAGACGTACTGATTCCAAGCAATAAGAAACACGTTCTTGGCTGCAATATCTCAGAGCCAGCCTTTGAAAGCGCCAATCAACCATGGAGGTCCAAGGCCTAGCCACCCCTCCCTGTCCTCTTCTATATAACTTACTGCTTTCAGACAACAAGACCTTCGTCGCCCAAATTAATTCATGGCAAAAAGAGACCTGAAGACCCAGAGATTTGCTTTCATTTACACACATCCACAAGGCTCTGACCTCTTTGAAATGCTCCAAGAATGCCACTAGGGCTGAAGTCCCGCATCAAGATCCAGCTTGGCAGCTCCCCCAGTTTGACCTCCAGAAGTTTCTTGTCCTTCACTGGTACTGAAACGGAAGAGTGAGAAAAAATACCCACTGAATAATCTCCCAGTAACACACATGGCATCCTTTCCTGTCACTACTTCAACTATGCAACAATGGTGCATAATGCAATTACACAGAGGCTGCACATACAAAATATTACAAAGAAATACGTCACATCAAGCCCACTATTTTAAGCCTGAGTCCACACAATAGCAGAACTGCTACAGCGTCAGCTTTATTAACCAACAGGACGTCTGAGTAACAGCTTGCTGGGAGTAACTCCAGAAAAGGGTCTTGAAGAAAGTAACGTGGAGGACAGGAAAGACTACTGCAAAGCTAACATTTACTTGACATTATTAGCTTATTTCATCTTCACAGCAAGCAGTTCATGCCTTTATCTTACAGGAGGGGAGGGGGGATAGACTCAGAGAGGTTGGGCCACGTGACCAAGGTCACACACACAACGTGGGGGCAGGACTGGCCCCCCACGTTCCTGAAGCCAATATGAGAGTGCCCTGTCCAACCCTGGGGATGCGTGCCTGGAGAACGTACTAGAGGGGATGTGGAAGGAGAGCGGCATGACGGTGGCCCCAAGTGTCTCACTCAGACTTGATGTACTTGTTTACTGGGGAAGGGCTTCAAAGAGCATCTGGGTTCACATAGCTGCCAGCCTCCCCAGATGGGCCAGCCCGAGCAAGTATAATGAAAGAAACCCAAGGAATTTCCACCTCCAGCATCCCGGGACCACGGACGCCAACAATTTCCAGAGATAAAAATAAGAGATTACACATTCCGAGAAGTCAACTGACTTAGGAAAAACCACTCCAAATGACTGAACGGCCCCAGACCATATTCCAATGGGAGTCTGAGAACAAGGAATCAGAAGAATTCCTGGCTGACACTGCACTGTCCTCACATTTGGGCCCAGGAGGAGACCACAGAGGGCCAGGGAGTGGGTGGGCCTGTGGGTGTCAAGGAGATGCACTTAAGGAAGGAATGGTCTCCCCTGTTCTCCCTGCAAAGATTTTATTTATTTATTTATTTATTTATTTATTTTTAAGAGACAGGGTCTCGCTCCATTACCCAGGCTGGAGTGCAGTGGTTATGCACAGGTGTGATCACAGCTCACTGCAGCCTCACTGAGCTTCCTGGACTGAAGTGATCCTCCTGCCTCAACCTCCTGAACAGCTGGGACTACAGGTGTGTGCCACCACACCCAGCTAATGATCAGTTTTAAAAAGCTTTTAGCAGGTGTCCTATTGAGGGCAAAGAGTCTAGGACCACGGTGCCTTCTCAAAGATAACCACAAGAGGAGCCAGATTAAATCATTCCAAGGATTTCTTCTCCATTTTGGGATCAAAGGAAAGACTAAGGCTCTGTCAGGACCAGCCTCAAGAGTCTGCAGAGGGAGCCCGGGCACAGTGGTTCACACCTGTAATCCCAGCACTTTGGGAGGCCAAGGC